CACTGAAAACAGAAACCTGTGGAACCAATAAAAAGCAAAGCAAAGAAAGAAAAAACACAGGAATCCGGCATGAAAAAAGAAAACAAAATGCTGGAAAGGAATTCATCACCCAGGAAGCAATAATGAAGTTCGCTTATCCACTTTATTTTATTCAAATACCAGTCTTTCCCCAGAAAGGTTCTGTGTGTTCTGACTCCCAGAGCTGGTCATGGCAGCCTCATCCAGTCAGTTTTTGAGGATAGTTCACAGCATATTATACAAATGCAAAAGAACAAAGAAATTGAGGAAGTCAGTACTGCATCCAAGGGTAAGGTAAGGTAAACAATGCTGGGCAGACAGAGCGAGCCATTTGCTGTTATTGAGAGAATCCATCCATGTATCAGGTATATTGACAGCTGCAGCATCAAATCATGCAGGAGAAACCAGTTAGCCTCTACAGGAGAGAAGGAGAAGAATGGAGAGCTACACAACTCAAGTCCTGCCTGATCTAATAACGTGTGGTGAGACAGAGTTCACCCTCATCCAGCATCCGCTGCACTGAAGACAGTCCGACCAAGCAGTAAAGTCCACGAGGTGTCAATAAACCCTCAAAGTATATTAAAATGTAACAAGACCAGAAGTAATTAACATTAAAGTGTAATTATTAAAAAGAAAAGACTGAACAGATAGTTTAGCTGTCAAGAGTCCTTGCCACTCTACTAAGGGACCCACATCAGATGGCTGGCAACCTTCTACATCTCCAGCTCTAGAGGACCCAACATATAAAATAAAAACAAATACATCTTTTTTTAAGGCTGGAGGTGGGGCAAGGAGATTAGAAGAAGAGAGAGGAGATAAGAAACAAACAAACAAACAAACTATGCATGAAATCTCATAAGGAAACGGGTAACTTCATGTACTAATTTAAATATGCATGCATGAATTGTGGTGATTTAAATGAAAATGCCCCCCCTCCAGACTCTTAGGGAGTGGCATTATTGGAGGTGTGGCCTTGTGGCAGGAATTGTGTCACTGGTGGAGGGGGAGGGGGAAAGGAGAGGGGGAAAGACGGAGGGGGAAGGGGAGGAGGGCAAAAGGAAGAAGGCAAAGGGAAGAGGGTGAAGGGAGGAGGGTGAAAGGAGGAGAGGGAAGGGAGCAGGGGAGGGGAGGAGGGGAGGGAGGAGGGGGAGGGGAGGAGGGAGAGGGAACAGGGGGAGGGGAGGAGGGGGAAGGGAGGAGGGGGAAGGGAGGAAGTACTCTGAGGTTTCAGAAGCCCAGGCCAGGCTCAGTGGCTCACTCTCTCTACCTGCTGCTGCCTGCAGACCTGGATGTAGAACTCCACATCCTCTCCAGCACCACGTCTGCCTGTGTGCAGCCATGATGATAACGGACTAAACCTCTGAGCTGTAAGCCAGTCCCAGAGAAGTATCCTCCTTTAGAAGAGTTGACATGGTCATGATGTCTCTTCACAGCAGTAAACCCCTAACTAAGACATGTATGTGTGCCTGCATATCCATCACGGTAATTGGGTGATGTGATACAGTTCTAATTAATTCTTAAAAGGGGAAATCAGCACAGCAATTGTGCAATTGATGAAAGGAAGGGCAAAGAGAACATGTATTAGCACATTTTAAAATAACTATTTAAGCCAAAAGAAAATCAGCATAGCAATTAAGTCACACCTTAAAAGCAAAGAAGAAGAGAAAAATTGACAGCATCTGGGGAATTCTGTCAAAACTTAAATCTGCAAGAGAGAGGGGAGCCTCCGAGATTTCTATTATTACACAGAAAAATGTAGGAATGTGTTGAATTTTGCACACAGTTACAAAATTTAAAAGTGTTCTGGATATGATGACACATCTATCAATCTCAGCATTAGTGAGGTGGAGGAAGAGGATCAGGGGTTCAAGGCTAGTATCAGCTATGTAGTAAGTTGGAAGATAGCCTGGGCTACATGAGACCATGTCTCAAAAACAAACAAACAAACACCACCACCACCCCCATTTAGAAATGAGAGGGAATAATAAAAATTAAATAGATTTAACTAGATAGAAAAGGGAAAGTACAGTTTAGAACTCAAGAGACCATTCTCTGGAAAAGAGAATAAACAGACACCCGGGGTTGGTGGTTAAAAGTGGAGCCTTAAGTGCCTGCCTTTCATCCCAGCGGGAAGGTCTCAGCTAGTTTAAGGCCAGCCTTATCTGTGTAATGAGTTCCAGGACACCTAGGGCTACCTAGTGAGAGAGACCCTGTCTCAAGCACAACAGAAAAGACACAGAGGAATGGTCGGGTCAGCCTTTGCCACACACACACACACACACACACACACACACACATACGCACGCACAGACAAGTAGGCAGGCGATCTACCCCAAACTCACACACACACTAAAAAAAGATTCTAGAAAATATGGGCTGACAAGAGTAAAGGAAGAAACTGATAAAGGTATCAACAAACCAACTTCCTAAAGGGACGAAACTGAAATGATTCTATGAGCAAATCTGTGTTCCAGAATGATGCAGACTTTCCCAGAGTCATGAATGTGTGTGTGAAACGTCTGTATATATGACGTCTGTATATATGTATGATATGTCTATGTATGTATGTTTGCACACTTGTATATGTGTATGTGATATGTGTGTGTATGTTTGCATGTTTGTGTGTGTGTGCCTTTCTATGTATATGTGTTTGCATGTTTATGGGTGGTGTATGTGTATATGTATGTGTGTGATGTATCTTTCTCTCTGTGTGTGTGTGATATGTCTCTGTGTGTGATATGTCTGTGTGTGTGTTTTTATGTGTATGGGATGGGTTTGTGTCTTTTCATGTTTATGTGTGTGATGTGTGTGTCTCTGTGTGTGGTGTGTCTGCACGTGTATGTATATGATTTACATGTGACTGTGTATGTGTGTGATAAGTGTGTATGTATGTATATGTGTGTGTTTACATGTGTATGTGTATATAATCTATGTGGTGTGTGTATAATGTGGATGTGTGTGACATGCATGTGTGGTTTATGTGTTGTGTGTGGGAGATATGTCTGTATGTGTTTGCAAGTGTATGTTTGTCATGTGTGTGCACGGTTTATGTGGTGTGTGTGTGTGTGTGTACAGCTCCCTTGTTCGTTTGAGGGGAAGTAGTGTCATCTTGATAGTAAAGCCAAACAACATGATATGCAGAATCTAGGCGGATGAAGCGACAGAACTTTTCAATGGTGCAAAGATAAAGACTAGAGCTTAGCATATTCTGCTTCCAGCCAGTGTGACTCACACAAACCCTAAGCCTCACTAGGTTAACTTGCAAATGTAGCCTGTTTGCATTTAAACTGCCAACAAAACAGAGCGGGGCAGACATGACACTCGGCCTCCGTCGTGCCCTGTGCTCCTTATCCTGATTTTAGTTTGGATCCTAAACTCCAAAATCTGGGAAATATTAATAAACAGCATAAATGAACACAAACTCACTCATAAGTACTTCTTCAAAGATAAATTTGATTTGGAGGCTGATAAGACTTTAATGCAGACTGCTGCTTTTATCATGAAAATGAATTTTCCTTAAATCTGATGTTCTTCCCTGCACCTTCCAGGATACAACTCCCTCAGAGCCAAGGTACACAGCGGGACTGCTGACTCCAAAGATCTCATTGGTTTTTTTTTTCCTAGTGGAAAAGGCACTTGAGGGCTAATCAGACATCTGTAAGAATGCTGTCCTTCTGACTCAGCCGCAGATGTGTTTGAAGGTCTTTGATGACCTCTTCAAGAGGCGTATCCCTGAAAGCCCACAGGTCAGTCATTCAGTATAGTTTCCTTAGTTACAGAGCAATTTCTTATCTTTTTTCTCACATTATATACCTGAAGTAAAGTAAATTTTACTCATTAAAAAGTCCTAAGAGGCCTAGCTTCATAGCTGGTCTTATACTGTTTCAATAGGCAAGCTACCTTATTATTTCTGCCTGATGGTAGGTTGTCATCTCCCCGCTGCATGGTGACAGCAATATCTGAGGTAGCTTTTCTTTTCTTATTTTCTTTCTTTCTTTTTTCTTTCTTTCTTTCTTTCTAAAAAAGGATTTATTTATTTATTTTATGTAATGAGTACACTGTCACTCTCTTCAGACACACCAGAAGAGGGCATCAGATCCCATTACAGATAGTTGTGAGCCACCATGTGGTTGTTGGGAATTGAACTCAGGACCTCTGGGAGAACAGTCAGTGCTCTTAACCGCTGAGCCATCTCTTCAGCCCCCTGAGGTAGCTTTTCTTAATGGAATGTCAAACAACTAGCTACAAATAATAAATGTCACCACTGCTGCTCAAAGTTTATCTTTAAAGTATTATTAAATACAAATCCTCTTCTTCTTTTTTTTTTTTTTTGGTTTTTCAAGACAGGGTTTCTCTGTGTAGCCCTGTCCTGGAACTCACTCTGTAGACCAGGCTGGCCTCGAACTCAGAAATCCGCTGGCCTCTGCCTCCCAAGTGCTGGGATTAAAGGCGTGCACCACCACCGCCCGGCCTGTTCCTGTTATCTTAACTCTCCTTTGGGTCCACTTCCCTATTCAACCAACACAGACCGCTCTGCACCCTAGGGTTGCCCCTTGCCCCTACTTAACCACTATTAACTGACCCAGCACCCAGACCAGCTCACAGTAAATGAGAAGCCAACCCTTCAGCTTCTCTGCTACTCTTCTTTCTTAAACAAAGGAAAGAAAGCCTGTTGGGCTTCCTAGCAAATATAAGCGGTGAGGCCCTCTACTCCCCTGTATACCAGCAAACCTGTGACATCATCATTTAATGTCCTCTCTGTTACCACCACTTGTCCCCAAGGACTCACCTGAGAAACAATCACCAGGGCCATTCAGCTGGACCACAACAGAATAAGAATTTTTCCTACTACTCCTGCTCTGGTTCTACCCATGGAGTAGCTTCATCCCTCCACCCACACCGACAGAAATCCCCTGTCCTCTTGGTTCCCCACATCTGTGCTCAGCATTCCCCAGGAGGAATGCCTCTTTCCCTTCACCTACCAGCCGTCCGGAAGCCAAGGATGGCGGGCACAGAGCGCCTGGGAGGGGCTACAGAAATGCTCATGGTGTAATTGGCTCCTTGTTGGAGGTACAGGCACACTTCTGGGATCCTGCTGTCTGTGGTCACATTGAATGTCTCCTCAGAAACTGATTCCACAGCATCTGGCTGCTGTCTTTCAATGTGTATCTTTAGAATAGGAAAGACAAGAGAATCCACCATGGCTCCAATCAGAATAACAGACACTTCGGCAGCTGTTTCTCTGAGGTCCCATCTTAGATACTATGTAACCACAAAGGTGAGTAACCACGGAGGAAAGAGGCCTGCTCTACCTTGAGTACCTAAGGCCCAATCAGCCCAGGAACGAGTAAGACCTAAGCTGAGACAGAAGTGAGAACTCGTGGCTCCTCTACCACAAATAATGAACAATTAAAGGAAGTTCTAATGCCAAATCAGCACATGCTTCCAGCCTTCTCTGAGGCAAGAAAGCAAGAAGTGCTTAGAAACGAGCAACAAAGAGAATGCCAAACTGATGCCTGTCCCACAGTCGCACGGGGTCAGATGGCGTATATGCTAGATGAAAAATACGTGTATATCTTAACAATACCACCCACTTTTTAAACAGGGCAGTAGAACCAGAAAAACAATGAGACTAACTAAGCGTCTTTATAGTTCTCATTCAAACCATATAGCTGGTAGACAGCAGTGCTAAACAGTGTGCTTTGATTGTTGTTTCCCTAGTTATAGAAGCATCATTGGTTTGCCTTCATGGTCACCTGTGTAATGACAGCGTTCACGACCTGCTAGAGAAAATAATTATTTTCTAAATGAATGGAGGTTGAAAAGAATCTTCTAAACCTGCCTTGGTTTTGTGTTGGCTCTAACTGAAATACCAATGTGTGTTCAAGAATCTCTGTTTAAGGGGATATGCCAAAAAAACTTTACAAAATGAACGAAATTCACCTAGACTTGCATATTCAAGCAAGATTCTACACCAACTTATACCAAGTAATTAACTGCGCTGTTTCACGAGTTACACTACTGTAGCTTGTTACTATATATTTGCAAACAAATATGGTTTCACTTTATGTGACTGAAGGAAGGGAAGCCAGCAGAAGGAAAGGAGGGAGAGGGAAGAAGAAAAGGGGAGGGAGGAAGGGGAGGAGAGGGGAAGTGAAGCTCCTACATAGGCAAGTTCTTCTGCTCACACTTCCATTTCTGCATTTCCAAGGTAAAGCGGCTCACTTTACTTACCAAGTACATGATCTTGGAGTTCACTCTCTCTGGACTTATCTGCCATCTCACACAGGTGTCATTAAACATCGACACATCATGAATTTCTATCACTATTTCTAGAATAGAAAAAATAAAAGAATTGACACATGAACCTCATCAATGGGCTTCAGGGAACTCCTGGGGGCTTGGAGTCTATCCAGCTGGTATCTCTGCTGCTCACCAGTCACGCTCTGGTTCAGATGTTGAATTGAGCAATTCAGGCAATCCCAGATGGTTCATCATGAATGAGCCTGGCCCACTGCCTGACCAGGCAAAAAAAAGAAAAGATTACTGCCTGAGGGTGGGGAAGGACTCCATCTGTGATTAACCTGATGGGCCACTGGATGCCACTGGTGTTCCACTCGGAGGCTGCAGCAAGGCCCAGAAACAAGTTCCCCAGAAATGAGCTCTGACCGGAAACTTCCTTAAAAGCACATAGGGAAGAGCTTCTCCTCCCTCATCTTACTCTGGGTGATAGGCACTCATTCAGGTGACTGCTGAATCCCAAAGGGGAAGTGGCATATGTCACCATAAAGGATGGTTCCTCAGGAGGAGCTTGGTGTGAATAAGTTCTCCACAGAGTCCCTGGTCACCCTGGGACTCCTCTAGCAGAAGCCATGTGATCTTGATCTGGTGAAAAGCCAGATTTCTCCTGGTTCTGTTGGTTCTAAATAACCTGCACTCCACTTCAGGCGAAGAATCTGGCAGTATGGGAAAACACATGACTTCCTTAAGTAACATAGTTTCCAACGGACGCTGCCTTCCAACCACTTACAAAGTTGTTCAGCATGGCATGGGGAAAACCTACCTTTTCACTTCTTAAAATCAAATTTCCTACAGATAAGAAAAGCTATTTCTATTTGCAAATGACATGATCTTATATGCAGACACCCCTAAAAAATTCAAACCTTAAAAACAAAAACAAACAAACCTACAAATTTATGAAGGCTAAGGAAGGTGTTCGGGAATGTTGTAGGACACAGGTTAATCTGCGTTTCTGTACCCTAGGAATGAATGATTAAAGGATAATAAAGCAACTTCTTTTACAATAACATCAAAAATGAGGGAAAAAGTAACAACAACAAAACATTTTAAGTTAGGCATTGCTTTATCATCCCTGGAGATAAGAATTTCCATTTCATCCGAAAAAAATATTCCATGGGTCATTTTGAGCTTTCATTTCCCAGGTTCTTAAGTCTAGTGTATGCCAGCCCTGCATACACTTTGGCAATATGGCTGTGTCTTGCCCAGTACTCTGGGGTTTCCTTGCTGTGGCTCACACACTCCAGCACATGCAGCCTGGAAGGGGAGAGGAGTTAAATCCGCTGAGGACAGGAGCGAGTGGACTAGTCATTGTCCTTTTTGTCCATGGAGGTTTGTCCATGGAGGTTGTCCTAAGTGACTGAGTTTCCACAGCCTTTCAGAAAGCAGTATCAGCGGTGGAGCAGTGCCCCGTACCCAGGGGAAACCCGGATGCTGCAGCGCCACCAGGAAGACCCGGTTGCTGCAGCGCCCCCTACCCGGGGAGACCCGGATGCTGCAGCATCCTCACACTGGTTCTTTCTTCCACTTAGTTATTCCTCTTGGTCTCCGATCCTGCTTCCTGAGTCTTTACTCCCCATTATGTAATAATACAAACTTCTGGTTCTGTTTGGGGAGAAACTCAAGGTAAGACTGCCACCAAGATAAGTGAGAAGAGATGTTTACCACACAGGCACAAGGAGTTGGGTCTGAGCCTCAGAACCGATGTTCATTTGTTTGCTGTTCACTTATTAAGTTACTGTAATCAGCTTGATGGGCCACTGGCTACCACTGGAATCTACGTGCTTACAACCTCAACACTAGGCAGGTGGAAACGGATGGATGGATCCCAGGCCATCTAGTAGACGAGATCTGAGTAGTGAGAGATCTCATTTCAAAAGCCCAAATTTGGTTCCCAGCACGCACAACAAACAGTTCACAACAACCTATAAGTTCAGATCCAAAGGACTTGACACGGGTGCCTGCAGTCACTGCACACAGACACATCACTAAAAATAATAAACCTTTTTAAAATTAAAAAACAAAACAGATGGCTCCTGTGGAACAATACCCAAAGTTGACCTCTGGCTTACACACACACACACACACACACACACACACACACACACACACAGAGAGAGAGAGAGAGAGAGAGAGAGAGAGAGAGAGAGAGAGAGAAGGGAGAATAATTCAATAATTCTTTACCTCAGGAAATGATACTCCTTTTATTGGCTAAGAACAATAAATCTGTTCTTAGTCACCATAAGGAACAAGGAACCTGAGCCTGAAACACCATAGGGTTAACATAATTCTCTTGTACAGAACCAAGGTCAACATTGAATTCACCTGGACTCCTGAATGGGTCATATGACAAGGCCTATGTCTACTGGCATTATATAGAGTTTACATCCCACCACACTTATTTTTTTTTTTTAGTAAATCCAAGTCATATATTAGGAACTGAAAGTAAATTGAGGCTGAGAAGAAAACACAAATTTCTATAGAGACATCAGAGTATCAGCTATGAAGCCTAAAAAATTCATAGGTTTCTACATCAGTATTCCTCTTCAGAACATAATAATGTGGAAAAAAAGAATCCAGTTGTCAGCAGGAAAAAACAAAACAAAACAAACAGAACCCAGACAAACAAACAAAAAAGCAATGGCCTTGCTCTTGCATCTCCTTGGTTAGCAAAGGTGATGTTGATACCAGTGAGTCCATCATTGGATAAACTTCAAGTATAAATGGCCACTTCTGTTGCTGCCCATTAAAGACCAGGACTTTTATCATCTCTAATCCTTTGAACAGCCTTCTGATGGTAGCTCAGCAGCTGGTCCAGAGGAAGCAGAGGTATTTCTCCCCCTCCCCCCCATCTTCTCCCTCAATTGCCAATAAAGCAAACAACCTTCCTATTCGGGGTGCCTGTGTCATGCAAGTAGAGATTAGAAAAGGGTTTCCTTTCTTGTTCATCCTTTTTGCTCGTTCACTATGACAACTGTAAATGACATCTCAAAGATGCCATCTGCCTCTAGCCTGTGCCATGCTCTGCACAGATGGGACCCAGATCTGATTATAGAGATGCCAGATATTCCATCCCAAAGAGTAGCTTAACAAAGTTGACGTCTTTTCCCATCAAGTTCTACAAACAAACTGAACAGACTTATTTTTTTTTTTTACAAAAATTCCAGGTGTTATACGTCTGCATTAATGCTGTCCTTTGAAAATACAACACTTGGCAAAATGTACACTAATTCTAATTATGTCAGTAATTGAAAAACACATAGGGACTGAGGAGATAGTTCAGTGGATAAAGGCACTTGCCAACAAGATGATGACCTGAGTTTGATCCCCCAAGCCCAGAGGAGAAAACATACTCCCTTAAGTTGGATTCTGACCTCCACATGTCCACAGTGGCATGCATGCACCTACACATATACACAACTATGTAAACAAATGCTATAAAAATTGAAAACAAGCCAGGCGGTGGTGGCGCACGCCTTTAATCCCAGCACTTGGGAGGCAGAGGCAGGTGGATTTCTGAGTTCGAGAGTTCGAGGCTAGCCTGGTCTACAGAGTGAGTTCCAGGACAGCCAGGGCTACACAAAGAAACCCTGTCTCGAAAAACAAAAACAAAAACAAAAACAAAAACCAAAAAACAAAAAAAAATGAAAACAAAAAAAAAAAAAGAGGGGGAAAGCATAGGAAAGTCTTGTTCGGACTGGTCTCCTCTTCCATTTATTACTCATGACTTACAGAATTGCTACCGGATGACAAGCATCCTCCTGTGTCAAACACTGGACTGCAAAAAAGACTAGACCATCAGTTCTTCCCTCAAGGGGCACGTTGCTTAATGGAAGGAGCAAACGCAGTCACAGGCAACCCACAGCTGAACAGCATCAGCACAGGCTCCACACAAATATGTGTGAAGGGCACAAGATAGGAAGGCCTGGAGGACCTGGGAAACTCAAGTTTCATGGTGGCCACAGCCTTGGAACATAGGTGGCTACAGAGTAGGGACCACATGGGAGCAGAAAGAACAGCGAGTCTGAATATCAGGCCAGTGAAATCGTGAGGTGAGGAAGAGGAAGGAGGGAGAAATGTCAGCTAGGTACAGAAGAGAGGCTGCAGAGGAAACACAGGATGCAACCCGGGAAGGGCTTGCTTGCCAGATTGAGGACAGACACTCTGAGCAGAGGCAAGCTGCAGGATAATGATGGGGACAGTTTTCCATTTGAAAGGAAGCACCAGGGTGCAGAAGAACCGGAGGTCATAAAATAGAATCTAATGCTATTTCCTCAACGACAACTATATGTCAGGCTCAGACTGCTCTTCACAGGCCTGATCTCATTTTCCCAGTAGTCATAAGAAGCAATAATAAAAACAATAAGAATGAACACTTATTAAGTTATAACTATGGGCCAGAGAGTATGTACAAGACTTTAACCTTCAAAATAACCTGATGGCTGGACACCACAAGGGTCAGGCGGCATGAGGGACAGAGTCCAGACTCACAATTAAACATGTCAGACCCCACTGCTAGGAGCCTCCACACTAAAGCAGTCAAGAGGCTATGAGATGAAATCGGGATGCTGTATTATAAAACAAGAAACAACTCTGAAGGAGATGACTGGGAGGTGAGGGAGGAGGAACAGAGAGGAGTCCAGGCTGACTGCCAGCCTTTGAGCTCAAGAGTCTGAATGAATGGCCCTTCAGAGTTCTCCTAAGAAACACAAGCAGAGGCAGAGCGATGAGCTGCATTTAGGACATGTTAGATATGAGTTATCTGTTTACCGTCCAATGGAAAAACAGCCCTAAAAGTCACAGGTCTGTGCATAGAAACAGAAGAAACAAGGAAATAGCAGGTAAAAGTAAGACATCCAAATAGGTCACAGAAAGGGGCTCAGTGGCAGAGACCCGAGAACACTGATAGCCAAGGAGACCCTCAGACAAGAGCAGTGCAAGAGGTCAAGTCACTAAGAGAAAGAATTCCTAGGAAGCAAAGAAGGTAAGGGTATGAAGGAGTGTGGTGGCTTCCTCACTCCATCTAGGGAGAGTCCAGCATGTCATTAAAGCCAAGAGGCAAGGTCAACCTCCCTCACTTCTACCCTAGCAAAGGCAACCTCACTCTCTCTCACCCTGTATCCTTTTTCTTTGATGAACTGGCCATCCAGTCAAGCTTAGACTTGGGGTTTGACATTGGGTAGAAGTAGGGAGAGCAGGCCTTGGGTCTGTCTAGTTGTAGGACATATAGGCATCTCCAATTTGACACAAAGAAGGGTCCTACAAGGTCCTATTGAACCTGTACTAGGTTTGGGATAATAAAATACTCAGCTTTGCTTTACTTTATCCCGTCTGTGTAGGGGTGGTGAGGTACTTGTACAGATATAGTATATGTGTATATGTATAACACACATATAAATACAATATGTATATGGATTTTGACATTCTGTTAACATGTAATATTTCTCTGTGTGGCATTTACTGTGTTTTTAATCAGTTATTTAATGTCTACTTCTCAGAGTGAAACTTCGTCATAGCAAAAGCTGTACTTATCTCTCTAAACTTAGCAAATGCCTTGGATAAAGACATTCATAAAGTGTTTTCTTCTCTGACTGACTGGTTAAATGAATGAATGGGTGATCAACAGCACTAAAGTATAGAAGGGTTAGAGTAGGGTTAAGACAGAACACGAGTTTAGCCGTTAGACGGTCATTCGTAGGGGAAGGGAAGTGATACCTAATTCCCCTTTCATGTTAGGCTGATAACTTGGGAAGGGAAGGGCGCAGAGTGGACAGACAGCTCTCTCAGAAGACCCACTGTACAGGGTCGGGGATGAGTCTAGTTTACTCTCTTGGTTTGCAGTTTGGGGCCCTTCTCTGTTTTTTGAAAACACTAAAAGACTGAATTCAGGTGGCTAAATTCAATAGTATCTCCAATCCAAACAGTTCCTGATTCCAAAAGAAACCCGATGATATCATAATAGAGCACAAAGGCAAGCTCTGACGTCATTGCCAAATAGACGGCAAAACGGGCACACTTTGATGACTGTGGCAACGAGACATGGGGCACATCACTGAAGAGATGTGTGCTCAGCTATAAACAGCCCGATGCCTCCTTTCTTTGTGTTAAGTCCTAAGGTAAATTCATGTAACGTGGGTAAAAGCGGCATGCCTAAACTACTAAAGTAAATGACACACTTTATGGTGATTTTTATGGTGCATGAATAAATGTTTATATGAACACTGGGTATTAATTTTTGTGCACATTAGAAAAAAATACATCTACTTCATCAGAGTCATGATATGCCACATATTACAAGGAATCCTTGATTGCTATATTAAAACTACAAACTTAAATTGTTTCTCAGGCATGGTAATATATGTCTATAGACTTAGCTGTTTGGGAAGCTAGGGCAGGGAGACCTCTTAAGAATAGGAATTGGAGACTAGCCTGAGCAATGTAGCAAAATTCCATCTAAATATGCCTCTGTGTGTGTAAAATGTGTTAATATATATGTGTATCTATATAATTACACATATGTTATTTTAAGAAACAAGCTATGAAAACAATTCTTTAGTTATGTCAAAGATCATCTGGGTAGTATGCAAATAATTCAAGCTTGGGGGAGCATGAACAGGAAAGTGTGGCACTGCAGGGCTTCCAGGCTTGGGTTCAAATCAGAACTGCATCAAGTACTAGTTACAGAATGACCCTAAGGAAATTGCTTAGCCTCCATGAGTCTCAGATCACTCAGCTATGACCTGAAAAAACTTGCTTTACAGGTTTTGAGGATGAAATAAGATCAAGCATTAGGGCCCCCAAGAGAACCCTGGGCGTGCAAGCTGCTGTGCGGGAGCACAGCAAATGTCGGTAGTGCATAAGTTCCGTACATATTCAGATCCAGCCAGCAGTGCGGCTGATGTAGTTCTGTGCCCATTTATCCCAGCCAGCCCTTCTTTCCCATTTAAAATGTACAGAGCTGCAAGCCAGCGATTGCTAGGCTGGTGAGGAGGGCTGACAACCAAGGAGGGACAGAGGGTAATAGGAGCTTGGTGGCATTTGCAGCCACCAAGGCAGGGCTGATTATGGGATGCAGAAAGGCTCCTGGGAGATCTACAGTCCGTGTTTCAACAGAGTTGTTGCTCTCCTAAGAGCATGGAGTGATGGACTGGTGGAGTGTGGAGTGTTAACCTTGTAATTATTAACCCAGACTTGAAACATAAGAGGTAAATGACCTGTGCAGAGTGGATGCCGGGGACAGCCTTATCAAGAACAAATCAGCCTCTTTGATCTTGAAGTAAAACCGAGTCATTAATGTGAAGCTTCCACCTCGGGTTTTTCCAGACACTAAAGCAGTTGCCTAATTCCCAGCTGTCTGGAGTTTCCAGTTCAAACCGGCCTTAGAGGGAAAAAAGTCCTACCACCCTGTTAGAGTTCACACTCCATTAAAAACATTACAGATCTGAGCCACTAACACAGAGGCACAGGACTTCAAACATAGTTTAAAGTAATTCAAAACAATCTCTGTACAGATAATCTGTTCTTCCCAGTCTGGAATTAAACACAGACATATAGACAGAGGGGAAGACGGAGGGAATACAAGGAAAGATCATGATAGGGAAAGAAGTGAACCATGAAACAGTAAAATTCATACAATCCACACAGGGGTAGGGGGGAGTCGGGAAGGGGTAAGACTGATGAAAAATGGGGAAAAGAAAAGGGGGGACAGCTAAGCAAGAACCATGACAACCAGCATCTCTTCCTCCATCTCCAGAAGCTTCTCCAGCCTACCCCTCCAGAGATGATCTGCACAGAAGCACGAATTAATCAGCATGTAAATCATTCCCTTTATCTGTGAAAATCGAATTTAGCTGCCAATCCTGATTGAGGGCACACAAGCCTCCTCACAGAAAGAGCCTAGCTCCCAGGGAGAATGCCTTTTTTCTCTCCCGAAATCAAAGCTTGCATAAGCCCATGGAAACAGCTGCAGCTGGAGCCACAGACTTAGTAAAAGGTGGAGGGCTGAGGACAGTAATTATAATTAGCGGTTACATAACATGTTTGTTCTTCAAAGTGCTGTACAAGGATCAGCTAATTAATAGCTTACTGTGCCCCATGCAGATCCCCTGGTTTTTCATGTAGTGACTAATCCCTGTGCCCCCACTGAATACTGAATGGTGGCAGCAGAGGACCTTGAGCAGCGGACACATGGCTAAGGGACCACAGCTAAGCAGCTCTCACACTAAGCCATTTCTTGCGGGAACAGTTCTGGGAGAAAGCTGTCTTCCATTCTCCAGATAAGTCCTGGAGGTGCTGCCAGAGAGGTGATGCTAGGTTAGAAAGACCATCAGTCTCATGAGTTTGGCCTCAGAGAACCTGGAAGGTGGTACTGGCTTGTCCTTCTTCCCTCCTCAGCCAGGGAGACATCTCTGGAACGAGGTGGCCTAGATCTTTAGATTCCCGTCTTTTTTCTCCTCCCCATTCTGCAGCCTACATCTTTTGCATGTATGATGGCAATCGCTGAATGTAAGAATTGTCTATCTCCTCCAAGGGTTCCTTTCCCACAGGCTTCAGCAGTCTCTAATGCTTTGAACTTATTTACAAAACATTACAAGGACATATGAATGTGCATTTCCTTCTACCACACTGTAAATTCCAAAAATGTAGTGCTTCATACATAGAGCACACTGAATATATCTTCATCTGTGGGATGAATAGATGGGCAGGATGGATGTCATCAAATTTCTCTCTTAGGGATGGGAGACAGCTCGGACCATAGGTGTTTGCCATGCAAGTATGAGGACCTGAGTTCGATACCCAGAACCTCCATAAAAAAAGTAGGTCATGGTGGCCTATTTGTGTAGTCTTAGTGCTGAGAAGATACACATACACGCACACGCACACATACATGCACACACACACACACACAAAGACACACAAAGTGAATTATGGTGTTTCAAAAGATGGATGTGTAAAATTCCCTCTATATTTTATTTTCCCAATATTTCTTCTAAATCATCAAGATTAAGCTGATAAATCTGAAACCAAATGCCGACCGGGGTAAGTGGCAAAGGTGAGTGTGACCCAGAAGAAGGCAGCTGGTCACTCCACATATTCTCTGGTGCTGCTCCCAGGTAACAGGAGACCAGCAGAAAGGAATCTGTACCTGTGCATGCATAAGTGATTTCACTCCAGGAGCCTTTCTCTGTGCAAACAGAAATGATCTTTCCTCCAGGACTCTCGAAGCCTTCCTGACAGTGATAGTGAGCCACACTCCCCTGGGTGGAGCTGGCATTCCCGACCAAGATGGCATTCTGAACTTCAGGGGGACTGCCACAGCTGATTTCTGCAATGAGGGTCAAGAAGACGACAGTGATGAGCTCTGACTTCCACCCCTGCAATTAGGACCTCAGAAAGAAACATTTCATGTTAACAGAGGCCATGCATCTGGGAAAAGAGAAAACCGACTCCCTCAAATCATTCAAATGTAATTATATAAAATTAAGGTTGCTCAGAAGCATAGGAAACCGGTGTGCCTGGATTTAATGAAATTTTCAAACATGCACACAGAGAGAAGAGCCAAATTAGGAGACGGCTTATGTATAGAGCTCCTTGTGTATGAAATAATACATCTTAGGGTTCATTTACATATTAAAGTTCTCTGGAACTTTTTACTTTTATCTTCAGATCCTTAACTCTTCAGTGGATGATAGAGTAGTTGTAGCAACTGTTGTTAACTGGATAGCAAATAAAATATTACAGAATCCTTGACATTCTTAAAGCAAAGCAATGCAGAAAGTGCTTACCTTTCTACGTTCACATTACACTCAGCTCTCAAGGGGAAAGGTCATTTGCAAAGAAGTGGATAGATCAGAAAGCATTAGAGTGACTTCAAGTTTCTTTTCTATAACCTTAAAAGATAGTACACACACACACACACACACACACACACACACACATATCTCTCCAGGCAAAGCAGGCTTCAGAGCACAAGGACAGTATCTCCAGAGACTTTTAACCTTCAAAAATGTCATGTTTACCTTTTTTGACAAAAATTCAAACTATTTAATAAAATACTGGCTTAATCCTTGTAAACCCAGCACTTGGGGGCTGAGGTAGAGCAACTGGAAGTTCAGGCCAGCCTGGGCTGCAGAGTGAGACTGTCTCCAACACAGCACTGGTCTTACGACAAGATGGTTCTCATCTTCTGCTCTTGCCCTCTGGCTGCAGCCATGGCTCGGGGCCTGTGGGCTTTCCTCAGTTTCCTTCTTTAAATTCCACTGACTGTATTGAGTTCAATGATGGAGTTCAGCATTCAGATCCAAGCCCACTTCCTAAACATCCTTTTGGGGACTTTTCAATTTTATTTCAGATAAAGGACTTAAGACATACAAATAAATATGAATGAATATGGAATTCTGTCTTTAATACTGAAACATCAGAAATAACTCAAATGTTTATCAAAAGAGAGTTGGGTGCTAGGTGTGGTCGGCCTGCCTGTCATTCTGGCACCCAGGAGGTGAAGGCAAAAAGAACACTGATGCCAGCCTGGGCTACACTGATGCTAGCCTGGGCTACAAGTGGCCCAAGAGGAGACAGAGAAAAATAAACCACAGTGCGACTGAGCAGTCACAGAAAGACCAGAAAGACCCGCACACGAGTGTGATGCCCACGACACGCTGTTGAGTCAAACAGTAGGTGTCATCTGTATAAAATACATAGACCTCTCTACTACATGGCTTTCCCTTTCTCTGATTCCAAAGTTAATTACAGACATATGTTGTTTCGAAATGTATAGTTTCGACCATATAATGTAAAGACTGTATAATGTGTGTTTCGAAAATGCACAGGAACTTGAAAAATACTGGTTATCGTCTGTTAACAGACTCTTACAGTTTCTACCAAAAAATAAAAAGTAACCCCATTTGACAAGAAAACAAATCAGAATAGGTATAGCTTAAGAAATGGAGCACATAGGTCTTGGGAAAAACATGGATGGACAATGAAATTGTCAAGGTACACGGACACGCCTCTATAGCCATTTAAACTGGACTACTTGACATAATATTCTTAAGTGATTCTAAAGGTTGAGCAACGTAAGACAATAGTAACAGAAACACAATCCCAAAGGTTTTTAGTAAAGCTTGAGCAGTGAGGCTTAAGGGACAGGTAGAGCTGTATCTGTCACTGGCGTGACAGTTCACAGGTACGATGCCATTCAAGAAGCACAAGAGGAAGACTGGGAAGGTAGCTCAGTTGGCAGAGTGCCCTCCTAGTATGCCTGAAGTTCCTTCCCCATCCCCAGCACCACTAAGCACAGTCTAGGGGTGCGAGCTGGCGTTCCTGGCATTTAGGAGGCAGAGAAGCAGGAAAATCAGAAGTTCAAAGTCAGCTTGGTAGTGCATGCTGTTAATTCCAGCACCTGGGAGGCAGAGGCAGGAGGATCTCTATGAGCTCAAGGGCAACCTGGTCTACATAGTGGGTTATATGCTAGCCAGAGATATATTGAGGAACACCATCTCAAAAATAAATAAATAAATAAATAAATAAATAAATAAATAAATAAAGGTTCAAAGTTAGCCCAAGATTCATTCTGTAAAAAGCCAGGAAAAGCTGCCATTCTCTGACATCCACACCTTTAAAATAAAGGCTCACTTATTGAGTTAAAGCATTCAGAATAAAGGCAATGGTATATTATGTGCCCACAATCCCATCAACCATGTCTGGCTTTAAGAACAAGTGGTCTCACCAAGCCTGTTGGTATAGGCTGTCATCCCAGTTACCCCAGAAGCTGAGGCAAGAAGATCAAAAGTCCAAGGGCTGTCTGAGCTGCATTGTGAGTTCAAGGCCAATGGAAAAAATGGAGTAAAACCTTGTTACAAAATAAGAAGTAAAATGTGGGCCAGAGTGGAGCTCAGTGGTAGAATGTTTGCCTAGCATGCACAAGGTTCGAGGTTCAACGCCCAGTGCTATACAAAGAGAAAAGAAGAAAGAGGAAGAAGGTTGGAGAGGAGGAGGTTTCTCTTAAGTCCTTGATATAGAGCTGGTGGATCTAAATGAATGTGCTCCTCTCTGCCTCATTCTGGATGCTTGGCCTGTTGTTGTAGGACCTAGACTTACTTTCCTAAGAGACTCCTCCAAGATCAGAGTCTCATTAGTTGCTGTGGAGCTATCCAGAGATCTATAATAAATACAAGTAGCCCAGGATTCTGTTTTATTATAGTATATCACAATATTCAGTATATCAGTACTCTGGTTGAAATTTAGCTTTGAGCCAACATAGACTCAGATCATAAGCAGTTATGGGGCCAGAATGAGGAGATCACTTCATAAAATCCCATCTCTATCTACTTCTTAGGTCCCATGTTTGGTCACATGGCTCTGTTCTCTTTTTATGCAATGTTTACTAGATACAAGACCCCTTAGCCTTTCCTGTGTTTTCCCAGCATCAAACCTTTACTGGCCCCAAACATTGCGAGGCATCGGTGTGCATATTATTTGTGTGCACATGAGCAGCCAACCAAACAGGTAGTTAATATTTTCTAAGACTGTCCAGTTATTCATATACGAAACATCGAGTTTAAGCCAGGATTCAGCTAGAATAGGTCTGAGAGAGAATGAGAGAGAAAGGCTGAAAACTGAAACATCAGTGAAGAACTGAAGTTGAAAACACAGCCTTATTCACCCTGGATATGGGTGCTCTCAGCGGTGAGGTTAGGACAGGAAAACAGCGGTAGAGAGCTGACTTATTAGAGAAAAGCAGGTTCCAAGAGAAGAACATGGAGGACAATGTGGTTGGTTTCTGTCTTAAGCATACTCAAGCAATGCAACACATGATGACTTTAGTTGTGATTACAATAAGTTTATAATTAATAGTAAGAGATATCACCTGATGGATGAGAAGTCATTGGATTGGTCTCTCGAGAGGAAGACTCAGGGTTGACAGCACCTACAGCTCTGTGAGTTTCCATTCTTGAGATGTTCAAGTTGCACAATCCCTTGGCAGAAGATATTTAGAAATGCTGCAAGATTTGGATGGAACACATTGTTCTAAGCATTCGTCAATAGGAATCACCCAGGGGATGTGTGAAGTTATGCATGTTGACCATTAGAGCTTTAGTGTGCAATGGCCTCCGCGGGCTCCATGTTTGGAGACTTGGTCTCTAGCCAGGCACTGTTTTGGGAGACTGCAGAAGGTCCAAGCTGGGAGACACATATTGCTGGGCATAAGTCTAGGACAGTATTGTAGACCTGCTTCTAATCCCTTCTACTTCCCAACCCTCTAAGATAGGAGTTAGACTATCAGCTCATGGCTATCATCGACAGAACTAGCCACCATGCCTTTCCCATCATAAAAGTCTATTTCCTTTTTGACTATGATCCAAAGTAAATAATTCTTCCCATAACTTATTCTACTAGATGTTTGTCACAGCAGCCAGAAGAGCATCTACAGAGAAATCAGTGCCAGGAAGTGAGGTCTTGGCTGTGATAAACTTGACCTTATGGTTCATAGACCTTCTTTAGTAGCTTGTTGGAGAAACGTTGAGCTCTGGATTAGGGAATCTTAGACTAGAGCTTAATGGATCATTCTGGTGGCAGCTAGGAAGATCAGAATAGTAAAGTGCAGATAGTAAAGGCCCAGCTCATAAAGTTTCAGATTTTGGGGTTCATTTCAGATGCTGGGGGTTGAGCTAGGGGCTGTTTGTGTCACATTTGGTCAAAAATTTGTGTTCTGCTTGGCCTCTAAAAGTTTGAGCGATGCTGAATTTGGAAGTATTATATCCATTTGTTTGGTAGAGAACAAATTGGTCGACACATTGAGGATGAGGCCTGACCACCGTTCACTTAGTCTAGCTAGATTTATAATGTGGATAGAGATTCAAAAGCAGAACAGAAAGTTTCTTCAAGTGCACTTTTGGCAGGGAAAGGAGCACGGGAGACATGGTGGGTGTGACTGAACAGTAGTTGTGAGAGTAGACCATTAAGAAGAAGCTCAAACTCTGAGGTGTAAAGGCACAAAAGTTATGATAACCTCGAGAGTGAGATCCCACCCATCAAAGGTTCTAGGATGGAAAAATGCAAGCTAATTATAAAACTTTCTTTTAAAAGGAGAGTTCTTGGGGAGGGGCAGAGTACATAAGAAGAAAGCATCACTGAAGGATTTTCTGCCCCTGCTTAAACAGGACTGCCTAGAAAAAGTTTTTTTCCTGGGGTCAGGCAGGCAGGTTCTCCGAGACTGCTCCACTGTGGTAAATGGAGGCCAGGATGCACCTCAGATGACAGTGGAATTTGGTTCTGGCTCTGCATGTATGTAGAATCAAATGTTCTAGGGTCATGGAGCCTTAT